AACAATTATCTTTAATATGGTTGCAGCATCAAAGCAATGCTGAAGATACAAGAACCCTTAATACAAGGAAAATGTAACATAAAAAATTTCTAAATATTTACTCTTTTCAAAAGGAAAATCCTTTTCTGAGAAATGCTGTTGCACATCAGACAAAGTTGGCTTCTTAAGACCGAGGTGTATGCTCACTTAAAGGACATTAAGTGGCTCTCATCTTACCCCATTTTGTGGCTGTTCTGTAAAAACCACTGATAAAGCCTGAGAAACTATTGGTATTAGTTTTACTGAAGTTAAAATATTTACAATTGCTGATTTTATGGAAACATGCATCCGTTCTTTTGATAGTTTTATAAAAATTGTGTGTATTAAGAATTCAAGCCAGGAATGGAGCTCAGCGGTGTAGCATCTGCTTGGCATGCTCGAGGCCCTGAGTTCAATTCACGGTACAAAAAGTTAAAAATTAAAATTAAAACAAATGCAAGTATTCTTTTTCACACCTTCCATGGCTCCAATGAAACCTTTGTCACACAAGACAAACTGAAACAAATATTCTCTGAAAGGTGACTTATTGATTCCAATTTTTAAAAAATGTAGTGAGTTTTGCTTCAATTGACGCTTCTAATAAACTATAATTTAGTTACCCTTTAAAACAAGAAAACAAGCCAAGGGTTTGGCGCAGTGGTTCGGCCGCCTGCCTTGCAAGCCCAAGGACCCAAGTTCGATCCCTGCTACCCAAAACAAAACAAGAAAAGTCGTCGTATTCCTACAAGGTGACTTTTGCAGAATTCCCCTCATGGAACGCCTTCCTTCCTCTCAGGAGGATAAACCCCGCATGTGCACCTTTACCACGCAGCCTGGTCCTGTGTAATCGGTGGCCCCCCGCTACATGGCTGCGACCTTCTTTTCCAGAATTGATTCGTCCTTAGGAAGCAACATGTCCGAGTCAGCAGCTCTGGCTTTAAGGCATGGAAAACAGGACCGGGCATAGCGTGGGATACTCCGGGCGGACTTCGCTGAACAAAGTGCGCCCAGTGCGAGCCTGAACCAGACCCAACCAGCAGCAAAATGACCTTAGATCCTTTTGAGAGAAAAAAAACGGCACCAGCGACCCCTCGTTTCCACCTTAGAGATCTCAAAAACGTACACAGCACAGCTGCTTATAATTGCTGAGTGATCTGGTGATAGTCATGAATGCGGGTTTCGAAAAATTAGTATTTCAACTTAAACTGGAAAGAAAAGAGGCTGTTAACCGTTAAGCACGGATTTTAAAATATTAAAACAATAAAGAAAAGGAAGGTCTAAGGACCTGGCAAGGGAGCGACAGTTCGCGTCAGCTGGCGGCCGGGAACAGAACGCTGGGAAAAGCGCGCCCTGCGCGACTTCAACCCCAGCATTGCACATGCGCCGACCCCGCCCCTGCACAAGGCGACTGCGCGCGTCCGCCTGCCCTTATCTAGAGCCGAGAGGCGGGGCGGGGCGAGATCGAGGGGCGGGACTGCGGCACTTCTGGCCCAATCCGAGACTTCGGAGAGCGCCCGTGGAGAGCGAGGCGAGTTGCCCCGGTCTTTCCGGAATCTTGACCTCCTTTTTCGTCCCTGGCTTTTCCCCTCTGCTCTTCAGTCCAACGACCTGGCTGCTGGAAGTTTTGGCCTAGTGTCTCGTGAATAAAATTAGGCGCACATATAAAGCGCTCTCTGTGGCATTTCTCTAATTTAAAATCCTATTGTTCGCAAAACTCTCAACTCTTGCTGTTGCTTGAGATTCTAGAATCGCTGCCGGGCGTCCTGTTGTAAAAATAGCAACCCAGAAAAAGCTTTCTACGTATCTCAGGGATTGGAATTGGGGGAATCGCGGTAACAACTTAGAGATAAGTATCCCCAGGTATTACGACAAATAAGTGACCTCAGAACACCCCCAAGAGCACATTTTCAGCGTAAGCCCTTGAGATAGCGCGACCCGCGTGTTCCAGCCTCCTGTGCAGCCTGAAGTCCTGCAGCCGGGCCGCGGTAGCACTTAGTGGGTCCCCGAGAAGAGGGCGAGGAAACCCGGCCTTGGAGCGCCTGTCTTCAGGCTGGAGGGCACGAACCGAGAAGGGCACGGGAAGAACAAAGTGAACCTTCCCGACCTGCCTGCTACGGCCCTGTAACCTCGGCAGTGGTTCCCGTCGCACATCGCGGTGTACGTGGCTTGGGAAAATACTAACTTTGATCAAAATTCCTCACCAGTAACCCTATTCAGGACGGCTTTACCGATGGCCTAAAAATAAAACCTCAACGCTGCAGAAATGGATTCAACCCCGAGCTCCACGCAAGGGCGCACAGGTACCTGTGATCCCACTCATCCCGGAGGTGGAGGACAGGAAGGTGGTGAGTTTGAGGCTAGTCTGGGTAACTTTGCTAGCGCTTGTCTCAAATGTAAAATGTTTTAAAAATTAAATTGTTTGAGCAAGGGCTGGGGATGTACCTCAGTGGTAGAGAGCTTGCCTAGCAGCTGTGAGAGCCCGGATTCAGTCCTCAGTAGCGCAATCCATCGATCGATCAAAGTTTGAAAAGTGTAGTCGCTTCAACTGCAAATTACAGACGCCGTAGTTCTGTCCAGCTCTGCCTAAGTGACCGACTGCCATTCACACTGCCGGGCCAGCGCTCTGCGACAAAACCCTCCAGGCAGAAAACCACAGGCCTCGGTGAGCTCACTGGGGACGGAGCGTGGTCTCCGCCTGCAAGATGGCAAAGTCTAAGCATTTCATGTGAGAATCAGAGAAAGCGGCCGAGGGTATACAGCGTCAGGTACTAATGGAAGCTAGAACAGGTTTTAACCAGTCCTGATCGTTGTCCTGTGTTGTCATGAACAATTAGGGTGGTGGAATCTGAAATCCCAGCGGGAAGATGACTGCGAGTGTGAGGCCAGCCTCAACTACATGGCGAGACAGTCTCAAAAAAAAAGAAAAAGAAAAAATTAGTGCGTATGTGTCTTGTTAAGTAATCACCTCCAAATGATGCCTTAACAAAAATTTAAACTATTTGTCAATATTCATGAAAATGAAAAAAGTCCTATTTACTTCTGATTCTTTAATCAGGCTTGTTATTATAGGATAACATGACTTCAGGGTCTTACTACCCAAAAAAGTGACTGCACTTCTTTGCACTGAGCTATGTCCCTAGCTTGTTTTGTTTTCCAGACTAAGTCACCAAGTCACTAAATTGCCAGGGTTGAACTTGCTATCTTCCTGCCTCAGCCTCCCTGGTTGCTGGGATTGCAGGTATGTGCCACAAGACTAGTGTTTTTAAAGATTCTCCAGAGGTTAACTTATTCTGTAATTTCTATTTTGTGGTTCTCCTTCAAGTTCAATAGACTGTTGAATAGGGCTGAGTAGGAAGCCAAGTAGCTGCCTGGGGCCACATACTCCTGCCAGCTCTCAAATCCTAGGATTATTGGTACAGGATAAAGGCAAGCAGTAGAATGTTATTTTAAGCAACATCTGGGGAATGTCATTGTGTCTAGTACTAGAAAGAACTGAGTAATTTCCAGCAACTGCAAGAATATCTGTCCCAAATCCTCTCTTTAAAATACAGTAAAAGCCGGGTGTGATGGCACATGCCTGTAATCCCAGCCCTTGGGAGGCTGAGGCAGGAGGATCACTGTGAGTTCAAGACCAGCCTGGGCTAGTGAGTTCCAGATCAGTCTCAACTATGCAGTGAGACCCTGTCTCATAAAACCAAAAATAAATAAGTAAATAAATAAATAAAATACAGAAAAAATTAATAAAATAAAAAAATACAGAACAAGGGCAAGCTTAAATATCATATAGCTTCTATTATATGAAAAATCCAAAATCTAAATGAGTTAAACAGCAAAATAAAAGACATATAGGAAATAGGGAGACAGAGCTTCTGTAAATGGGAAAGGGACCAAGAGATGGCAGGAGAGGAAGGTGGTGAGGGGAAAGGGACATAAGGATTAAATATATTATGTGCACATGCAACTCTCTAGGTGAATGTAATTATATACTGTAAAAGTGACTAATAAAAACTTTAAAATAAAATGCAAATCCCTGCCCTCCCAAAAACATGACAAGGAATAAGCTACTTAAGTGTTCTGAACCACAACCTCTCACTGAATTGCCTCATTTCTAACAGTTTTACCAAACTAACCAAGCCTAACCAAAAGGGAAAAGGCTTTTTCATTTTTTTAGGGACAAAACAAAAACATTGATTTCAGTAAGGAGTACCTAATTGAAAATATTTCAATATTTTCCATCTCTGAGGAAGCAGAGCTCTATGTATTTTCAATATTTAACTGTAAACATAACCTAAACATAAAAACTTTTAGCACTGGTCTGGGGCTTTAGCTCCGTGGTACTGCACCTGCCTCACAAGCACAAGGTCCCGAGTTGATCCCAGTACCAAAGGAGGAAGAAAAAACTTTGCACAGTATTTGTGCCTTGATTTTATAAAATATATCCAGTTTTTGGTTTTTTTTTAAAACAGGGTCTGTGTAGTTTAGGCTTACCTTGAACTCACCATGTAGCCCAAACTGGCCTGGAACATCATCCTCCTGCCTCAGAGTCCCAAATGCTGGGATTATAGGCGCGCACCACCACGCCCAGACAACCCTTTTTCTTGTTTTGTTTTTTGAGTCTCAGTATGTATTTTAGGCTGGACTTGATGTAGCCCAGGCAGATGTAGAACTTGTGGCAATCCTCCTGCCTTGGCCTCCTGCATGCTAGCATTACAGGTGTACACCACCATGTCTATGGCTCAAAACAAATTTTTTTAAATCATTTATTAGATAAAATCAAAATAAGAGAAAAAAAACTATTGTTTCAAGAAAAACAAGATTTATATTTGTATATTATCAAAAGATTCTGAAGGTAAACATTATAGACTATAAATTACCAAAAAAGTGAATGTCATACACTGAAACTAAGAACAAATCTTCAATTTATTTGAAGCAATTCAGTTTCAAAAACTTTAAGTTACAGCAGTCACAAAAAAACTGGGAATAGTCAGAAACAATAAAAGAATGATCAGGAGTACTGCATTTTTTAAATTTACTTTTAACACTGTCATGGCTTTATTCAAAACACAGTTGCACAAAAGTATTAACTTCAAAGTTTTTAAGGAGAGGTTCTTGAGGAATTTAACACATTATATACATACTGCCATACAAAGAGCATTAAAATAGGACCCAAAACTTCTACAATATAAAACCCACCCTTACTTATTTGCATGAAAATATCACCCACAAAGCTACATAAGTCTTAAAAGTTATCTGGAGGCTCTAAGTGTTGTTTTTCAAATCAGAGAACTCTAATTATGATTGCACAATAAAATGATTGATAAGAAGGTCAATATATAGATTTAATTTTAAAAATAAGTATTTTCTAAGGTGGCATAGTATGCAACAAGAAATCTTAGGGACTAAACAGGGTATTCCAATTGTTAAATTAGGACAAAAATGTTAGTCGTCTAGAGATTCCAGGCCCCGATAAACTTGTCCCCAGTGTTTTCAGCCAGATGTGTAACTTTTTTAGTTTCTCCACAAATAACTTCATAGTTTTGCTTTAAAACACCAAGTCTTCCATTTTACACTAAGAAAGCAGCAGCAATACCATACTGGTTTGAACGTGTCCCAGTGGAGAAGCATAACTTCAATTTGCTGGCACTTTTTAAAACCTTACAAATATTCAAAACGAAGAGAAAAATAATTCAGACATTCAAGATTAATTACAAGCTCCATGCCTTGGACATGGCGCCTCCTTGACAAAAAGGGAGACAGAGTTGTCCCCCGCCAGGGTCTGTGTAGTAGACAGCAACACGCTCACACTTCTCTCTCAAATATCGTTGTTGGTAATGAACATCAGCCCGAAAACAAACCTTAATATTGAGTTAGTTTCAATTTTTTTTTCAACTACCATACTCCAAAAATGTTGTATCTGGTAGTGCATTACAACTATAGGAAGATTAAAGTTCTACTGAGAAAAACTATAGATACTTCACAGGGTTGGTATCCAAATACTTTGGGAAGCCAATTTAAATTTAATTCTCAACGGGCAATGGTTCAGTTTTGAGAAACATTATCACTACTTCCAAAAGCCTCCCGTCTGTTCTTCCTTCACCCTAATCATGGTCTCCCGTGCTGTCAGCCCAGAAGCATTTACAGTAAGTAGAACCTGTTGAATAAAACGGTATCAACAATACTCAGATCTTTAAAAATACTCAAATTTCTTCCTCATTCATTTAAAACCTGGACAGGTCTGAAAAGGTGACTGAGGTATGAGACTAAAGGTTTTTGGGGAATCCACCAGGTGCCCAACCTTCTGGCACAGAAAGATGAGTGAAACAAGAAGGGAAAGACAGCACAGAAGTTGCTGAGAGGAGAAAGAACACAAGCCTGAAACAACACAAACCACCACTGGCATCTCAGGAAGGGCTCACTGCATGCCTCGGACTTAGTACAAGCAATTTCTCCTTCAAAAGTAAACTCTTAGCACTCACTATAAAATCCTTGAACTACAATAATCACAGAGTGGCACCCCCCCACCCATGAAATCCGCTGCTGAGAAAGACCTGTACGTTATCCTGCATCTGCTTTCCAGCTTAACTCGGGTAACCAGCATCCAAATACTCCTGGCCAGTAAGTCACTGCCTTCTAACGAAAGATCTCTGAGTCACTTCTAAAAAATAATGAACTTATCATTCAAGAGACTACTGTCGTAATTTCAGTTAATTTATAAATAACTTTACAACTTTATGAATGAAATGCACCAAATTACACCTGTGTAAAAGTGATGTTTAATTATGGGCTAAAAATGACTAATACAGTGTGCTTGAATTAAAAAAATTAAGATTCTAAATAAATTGCTAGAGAATTTCACAAGGGGGGGCAATGAAAATTTTCTCTACGTACAACCTGATCATTAACAGACTAGTAAATCTTAATTGGAATGATAAGGCAAAAATAGTAAAACCACACTTCTCCTATAAAAAGTCACACATCATCTTCCGCGGGGAACAGCTGTCGTACAGGAGACGAAGACGTGGCCACCCGACTGCACACCCAGGAACGCCGGGGGACGCGGCCTCAGTCCTCCTCCTCCTCTCCATCGTCGTCGGCATCCCGCTTCCTCTTCTCCCCCCGAAGACCTTCTTCTTCTGGAAGAGGGGGAGGAAAAGTGGGGAAAAAACACTTGATCTTAACAAAACAGATGAATATTTGTTAAATTACAAAGTTATGAATCTTAGTAAAAAGTTAACGGCAAAAGAAAATTGTATGTTATTTTCACTCTGAAATTTCCTTCAGTTTCAGTAAAGACTTGTCCTAGAAACCAATGCATCGTGACGGTTTGCTATGCACTCTTGTGGCCAAAGCATGTAGTACAGATCAAGAAGCTTGTGAATTTGGTTGTTCTGTTGATTTGTTTTTGAGACAAGGTCTAGCTAGGTAATGCACAATGGCCTCGAACTCCAAGCAATTATCCTGCCACAGCCTCGAGTGCTGGGACTACAGGCGTGCACCATCACCCTCGAAAGAACTTAGGAAATATTGGAGTTATTTGGAAACCTAGGTAAGAACACCAGAGTGTTTAATGTGCTTCTCCTATAGCTTTTCACATTCGCCAAAATAAGAAAGACTAAAAAACCAATAAAATGAGTTCAAGGTTGCAGAATCACTTTGCTCCTGTTTTTAGAACACAAGTTATAAGCCGAGCATGGTGGTGCAGGCCTATAACACCATGAGCAGTCAGGGGAGGAGGTAGTGGGATCCACTTTGCGCCAGCCTGGGCTACACTGTGAGACTCTGTCTCAAAAGATCAAAGAAACAGAGCAGGCATGGTGACTCACATCTATAATCACAGCACTCGAGAGGGTGAGGCAGGAGGATCTCAGCGAATTCAATGCCAGCCTGGACTACACAGTGAGACCGTCTCAAAAAAAAAAAAAAAAAAGGCCAGAAAAAAATAAAATAAAATACATATTATAAGCTGTTTATTTTCTAATGGAATTAATGAATGCCCCAAGAAAATTACTCTTAAAAAAATTTTACAACTTTCTCCAGGCACAGTGGCACACACCTGTAATCTCAGCACTTGGGAGGCTGAGGCAGGAGAATTGCTCTGAGTTTGAGGCCAGCCTAGGCTACATGGTGAATTCAAGGCCAGTCTAAACTACACAGAGACCCTGTCTCAAAAAGACAAAAAAATAAATTTAAAAAATTATAACTTTCAAGGCCCTCTATAATTTAAAAAACCAAATAAAAGGGATCAGTAATAATTTGCATTATAGATTCATTCCTTAGTAATCCATGAAAATGTGTTCACTTAATTTTACAATTTATTATGGTTAGTAACTCACCCTCTTCCTCCTCTTCTTCTCCTTCTTCAACATAGTCATCATCATCATCTTCATCCTTGAAATTCAAATATTCAATTTAAGAATAAACTATGACATAGATTTCCCACTATTTAGTACATCCCAACAGGAGCAAAGAAACTGGTTATTCTGTGTTCTGACAATCACAACTCTTGCCTACCTGAATACAGGTCTTTTTCAAAGATTCCACTATCCACCTAGTGTGGGCCCCTCCCAGCCCCTTGGGAGACAAGGTCTCACTATGTTGCCCAGAGTAGCCTCAAACTCAAGATCTTCCTGTCTCAGCCTAAGGATAACCAGATTCTTAACAATATTTAATTTCTTTATAAAAGTAAGTTACACTTTAGATGACCACTACTCAGAAACAATTTCTACAACAATGACAATGTTGTATATCTGTTATACTGTATAACCACCAGCCACACACAGCTACTGAAGATTTGAAATGTAATTAATGCAAATGAGGAACTGGATTTTTAATTTTATTTAATCATATTAATTTAAATAGCCACACATGCCTACTAGCTACCATAATAAAACAACTTAGACTTTTTTTTTTTTCTTTTTTTTTTTTGGTTTTTTGAGACAGGGTCTCACTATGTGGTTGAGACTGACCTGGAACTCACTGTGTAGCCCAGGCTGGTCTTGAACTCACAGCGATCCTCCTGCCTCAGCCTCCCAAGTGCTGGGATTACAGGCGTGCACCACTGCGCCCAGCTCTACTTTGACTATTTTAAAAACAAGATCTTTGATGTGTGTGGAGTCATATACCTATAAGCCCAGCAATCTGGTGAGTTCAAGACCAGCCTGGGCCACACAGTGAGTTCCAGGTCAGTCTCAACTACATAGTGAGACCCTGTCTCAATAAACCAATCAATCAATCAATCAAGCAGAGTACAGGTTTAACATTTTCACTCTAAAATCCCAAATCCAATATCTGAAGCCTTTTGAACATCAACACACTACCACAAATAGAAAATCCCACACTCAACTTTACCTTATGGGCTACAGGCAAAATGTGTGCACACTAAAAATATTGTATAAAAATTCCTTCAGGCTACGTGTATGAAACATGAACAAATTTCTTGTTTAGTCATGAGTCACATCCCATCTCATTACATTTATTAAATGCTCCAAATTTTGAAAAAAATAAATTGGAAATAACTCTTGGTCCCAAGTACTTCAGTAAGAGACATTCACAACCCATATTCATGTACAAAGATCTCTAAGTAGTTCCTTCTACATCCAAAAATTTATACATCAAAACAACATATGTGGGGGCCAGGGATTTAGCTCAGTGGTTCCACCACCTTCCTCAAAAGCCCAGGGTCCTGAATTTGATCCCCAGTACCAAAAAGAAAAAAAAAAAATGTCAACAAAAATCACAGTAAAATAAACCACAACTCTTGTGGAACAAGCTAATGACATTTTATTTACTCTGGCCAAATGGGAAAGAAATCACTATGGTCCACTGCATCTCTTCCACCTTTCATCACTACACCCGCTTCTGGCGTAACTATTATGTAAAAACGCTGCCAATTAGTATAGGTTGACTTCCTCAGACCCTATCAAGATATGTAGCATGCTAGGCATGGTGGCGCACACCTGAAATCACAGCACTCAGTAGGCAGAAGCAGAGCATCCCAAGAGTTTGAGGCCAGCCTGGGTTACACAGTGATTTTAAGGCCAGCCTGCACTACAAAGGGAGACCCTGTCTCAAAAAAAAAAAAAAAAAAAGATATAGGATGGGGTTTTTTCTTTAAATTATCTTTTCCTAGTTTTTAATGTCTTCTTTTATAGTCAGTTACTATTTCAAATTTATTCTACTCAGAAATCAGAGACCACGGGGCGTGGTGGCGCACGCCTGTAATCCCAGCACTCCCAGCACTTGGGAGGCTGAGACAGGAGGATCGCTGTGAGTTTGAGACCAGCCTGGGCTTTGTAGTGAGTTCCAGGTCAGTCTCAACTACATAGTGAGACCCTGTCTCAAAAAAACAAAAAACAAAAAACAAAACAAAAAAAAAGAAATCAGAGACCAACAAGTCATGGAAGAAGAAAACATAAAGAGTACACAGTCTCCTCCCAGGGACACATTCACTGTCACTGAGAGCTGGGTGCTCAAAGCCTTCACCCCGCCTGCCTTGTGCTGGCCATGTTACAGATGGCTGAGGTACTATACAGGGTATGCTTGAAAAACGGGTCTGCCTCCCCTGCAATACCACAAGTTCACTGCTCCTCAAAAGCACTTTTAACCTGCTAGGTGCAGTGATGTACACCTATAAACCCAGCTACTTGGAGGCCGAGGCAGAACAATTCCAAGTTCAAGGCCAGTCTGTGCAAACCTGGCAAGACCCTACCTAGCCTCCTTTTTTGTGGAACTGAGAATAGAACCCAAGGCTTTCATATTGGACTAGATCTTCAGCACTTTTTAACTTTTTTATTTTGAGACAGGGTCTCATCAAGATGCTAGATTGCCCAGGCTGGACTCAAACTTCTGATTCTCCTACCTCAGCCTACCAGCGTGCTGAGATTACAGGTATGCACCAGTAATCAGTTCAGCAGACCATGCTCAGGAGACCATGCTTGACAGACCCTATCTAAAAAGTTTTTAACAAAGGCTAAGGATGTGTAAGTGCAGTGGTAAAGTGTCCCTGGGTCCTGGGTCCTGGGTTCAATCCCCAGTACCAGCAAAAAAACAAAAAACAAAAATAATCTCTAAATGCATAGAACCATTGTTCAAGAACACTTGGACAATTCTCCCTTTTCAATGTCTCTACACTTCATTTGTGTCTAGAATTATTAAACAGAACCAAATTTTCCAGCACTTAGCTAGAAACCCTAAGAAACGAAAATGTTATGATTCTTTTATCAGAAATCATTCTTATCAACTGAAACATTACTAAAGCATATCCATACCAGGGTACCAGTAAGCTACATGAACAGAAGGAGTAAAACAGCAAATAGCATAAAAAAGACAATAAAAACCAGAAAAATCTCATGCTTTAAAAGTGAAGAAAAAGAAACAAAGGAAGGAGTGAAGGGGACAGGAAAGAAAGAAGAGGCATGTCTGCGCATGCGTGAACACACACACACACACACACACACACACACACACACACACACAAGTGAAGACTGAAACAGGGCCACATGTATGCCAGGCAGGTGCTGTACCACTGAGCAGAATCCCCAGGCCTTTTCATTTTTTATTTTTAAGAAGTAACTCCTTGCTGTCCAGGCTGGTCTGACAAGCAGGAGTAGCTGGCATTAACGGCACGTTACCACCACACTGCACTCAGAGATATTTCAAACATAGCAAATTGGAAAAGAGGATATTTATCTCCATTTTTAAAAACTTGAAATCTAATCACATTTATTCCTTGATAACCCTAATTTAGAAAAGCCCAAGTCTAAAAAACTGATTATTTCTTTTTTGTTTTAAACAAAATACTATGATTGGTTCGTGATTTTTTAAAAAATCATCTTTTAGATAATATCCCTCAATAAAAACTCAGCTTAGGGCCGGAAATTTAGCTCAGTGGTTCCGCTGCCTGCCTCGCAAGCACAAGGACCTAAGTTTGATCCCCGGTACCAAGAAAAATAAAAATAAATAAAATAAAATAAAATAAAAACTTAGCTTTTGCCCGAAACTGGCTCACTAGAGACCAAATGTTCCCTTGTTTGGTAGGAGTAGTACAAAAGGCACCATAATTCCCAATTTTCCTAAAACCCTCAACTCCACTTTTAATGACTTACATTGAACAGACATGAAGTTATTGTTTTTCTTGCAGTACTGGGGATTGAGCCTATGCTAGAAGCTCTCTCACTGGGCTACACCCCAGCCTCTTTTCACTTTATTTTGAGACAGGGTCTCACTAAATTATCCAGGCTGCTTTGTGCTTGTGATCGCTCCCCCTGCTTCAGCCTCCCTAGCAGCTGGGATTTATAAAAGCGTGAGCCGTCGCGTCCAGCCACAGTCCTTCTCATACATCTTCTTTCTCTTTGATGAGCAGTTGAAATAGGAATAAAAAGACCCAGGAAAATAGCTAACCAAAAATGCTATTTTCTTCTAATTTCTTTTTAAATCTCAGTAGTCTCTGAAGCTTCCCCTAGCACTTAGCTTCTAAAAACAAGACTACATTTGAAACACCCAAATTATCTCATCACGAATGAAAGCTTTTTGGCCCTGCTGTCCCACACTGACTTCATGCTGTCTGTATCACACTTGGTACTGTCCTTCTTGGTTAGTATTCCCCAGTACTCTATAGAATGGTAAGTCTAAACATCTGCAGTTAGTTGAAAGTAATTTTTAAATGACTTGATGAAAGGCGAAACATAAAATACAAGCCACTTATTTTGCCAAATAAGTAAAATCTTAGGAGAGAAACATTCAAGTTGTACACTGATATAGACTGAACAGGCTTTCTCTCTGTATAATTAAAATAAATACTTAAAGCTCTGTTCTTCATTGTTATACAGTTCCTAAGTCACTAAGGCCCTAAATAAGTGTAAGTCCTTGTTTTTCCACATTATCTTATATTAAAATAGTATGGGGAAAAGTAGCATTGAGCAGATGATATCTACTTAACCAATGCAAAAGCAATTAGGAAAATAAATAATACTAACAACACCTAGCTTAACTGAGGTTTGGGGATTTTTTTGTGGTTTTGTGGGGTTTTTTTGCAGTGCTAGGGATTTAATCCAGGAACTCCTACTTAGCAAGTAAAGACTATCACTGAGCTACACCACATCCCTAAGAGATGTTTTTAATAATAAAAAGTTATTTGAAGGCCAGGCATTGTGGCACACACCTGTAACCCCAGCACTTGGGAGGCTGAGGCAGGAGGGATTGCCATGTGTTTGAGGCCAGTCTGAGCTGCATAGTGAGTTCAAGGCCAGCCAGAATTGCATAGTGAGACACTGTTTCAAAAAAAAAAGTTATTTTAAAATTACAAATTGAGGCCAGGCTTGGTGACGCACATCTACAATCTCAGCACTCTGGAGGCTGATGCAGGATTGCCATGAGTTCAAGACCAGCCTGGGCTACACAGTGAATGAAAGGCCCGCCTAAATTATATTGCGAGACCCTGTCTTAAAATTTTTAAAAAATATATATAAACTACGAAAATAAACCTCAATTTAACATTAGGAGAAAGTAACTTCTCTAACCTTATCAAGGCCAAAATGCACTCATCCTTAAGTGTAGTCAATGTGTGGGGCTTGGACACAAAGATGAACACACACGCCCCCAAGAACTCACGCCTCACAGAAAGTGGCTGTGGGAGTTTTTACAACAGAGTCTACCAGCAGAAGTGGGTTTAAGGGAGCAGAGGAAGGAGTGTCAAGAAAGATGACAGAAAGCTTCAATAATGAAGTTAACTCCAGAGCTGAGTTGAAGATAAGAGTTCACAAAACATGATTTGGGTGCTATGTGCACAGGTACAAAACAATGCAAAATGTGACGGAGCTGTATTAAATACACTTCACAAGCTTCACTATATTTACGTTCACCTCAGCACAAACAAAAACAAAGTTCAAGGGGCTAGGGATTGAGCTCAGTGGTTCTGCTGCCTGCCTTGCACCGTACGAGACCCCGAGTTCAATCCCTGGTACCAAAAAACAACAACAACAACAAAGTTCAAGAAGCATGAATAGAGTCATTTTTGACAGAGTGGACAGCATAAACACGGACATGAAGTCCAAGCAGCAGTCCGGCACGACAATTTAATTGGGTCTGAAGGGAGCTGCAGCTATGGAAGGAAGCGGGGGCTACAGGAAAAATGAAGGGCACTGTCTGCTCAGACGGAACTGGACCACTAAGGGTTTCCAGGCAGCTGCCAGGAGGCATTTGCATTACACTACAAGGCAGACATGGAGGGTGTTCCTACATGGGGATTCTGTGTGCAGAGACCATTTAGAAAGCTGTAACAGGAGTAGAAAGCAAGGGATAACTGGAAGGAAGAAATTAGTCTTCCTGAGTGCCCACAATGAGCTAGATATTTTAAATATATTATCATGCTAAATCTTTAAAGCAGGAGGCAGGCACGGTGGCACACACCTGTAATCTCAGCTCCTGGGCAGCAAGGCCAGAGAATCGCTAAGTCTGAAGCCAGCAGGGGGTTCACAGCGGGATCAAGGACAGCCTGTACTACAAAGCAAGACTCTGCATCAAAAAAACCTAAAATCAAACCCTCAAAACAATCCACTGAAGTTGGTATAATCGTTCCTTTATAAACAGAAACAGATGCTTGGAAACCTTTGTAAAAGATTTCCACCACACTACGCCACTGAGGAGACAGGATGGACAGGCAAAATCAATAGGTATCTATGATTCCCTGGCCCATAAGTTAGGGCAGGAGACACTGGGAAATACAGGTCAACAGGTACATGCACACTAACAAGTTAGGAAGCAGCTCTCAGATTTCTACACAACTCACTTTTTACAGTATTTAATACTATGGCTAAATAATTGCCAGGGCAAATACAAAGCATCGATTCACCTGAATCTCTTCCTTCATTAAGTATGACAGGCCCACTTCTTCTTCTCCCTCTCCCAATTCTGAGCCTGCTTCATCTTCCTCCTCATCTTCATCCTCCTCTTCCTCCTCTTCCTCTTCATACCCTTCAGGGAGACCAGCTTCATCTTCATCATCTTCATCTCCATCTTTTAAAATTTTAAACATGAACAAATGGGATATGGGTCTGGCTAGCAGGCTGACCCTTTCTGTCCTTGCTGAATCACTGCAAATTCTTATAGCAGTGTGTGAAAAAAACCTCAGGTGACTTTTTTAAGACTTCAGTTTTATAAAAGTGCTATTTATTACTTAAGAAGTATAGTTTCTAATACTGATATTTACCTTTCTTTTTCTTTTTCTTTGGTACTGGGGATCCAACTCGGGTTCTTGCATTTGGCAAGGCAGGTGGCAGAACCACTGAGCTAAATCCCCAGCTCAATAATTACCTTGTAATGTACACCTTTTCATCAAACACTGCATGCACGAAGTCGCGTTTTACTTTGTGGACACGTGAAAGCCATCATTTCAACACTTTACACCACTGTTTACTCATCAAGTTTAATAGTGAAAAACTTTTCACACAGTAAGAAGTAATGTCCTATTACTCACATCTACCCTGTCCTCTCACCGGCTACTCTTCCCTTTACCCAGAAATGCACATGCAGTATCTACTTCTACTACATTTCTCATCACTTCAAAAGCAAACCTCACACCCACTAGTCGCTGCTCCCCACCCTCTCCCACTCTTCCCCCAACCCCCAGCAACCACTTTCTAGCTCTGGATAGGCCATTTCTGAGTTTTGCCTATAAATGAAGACAAACAACAGGTGGCCCTCTGTCTGGCCTCTTTCACTTAGAATGTTTTCAAGATTCACTCATGTGGGGGGCTGGGGATTTAGCTCAGTGGTTCTGTCACCTGCCTCACAAGTGCAAGGTCCCGAGTTCTATCCCTGGTACCCACCCCCAAAAAAGATACTCACGTAACATGTAGCAGTACTTTACTCACCTTTATGTGGCCAGATGTTATATTTTATGGGTATATCTATCACATTTTTTAGGGAGCAGGACTGGGGATTGAACTCAGGACCTTGCACTTGTGAGGCAGGTGGCAACACCAAATGAGCTAAATCCCTGGCACTGTCACATTTTTTAACCCATTCATAATGGGCTGTTATAAATAATGCAACACTGAATGGCTCTTTTAATTAAAATGAAATACTATTTAGGAAGCTACTGCCATTACTGGGTGGTAGCCACACAAGTTTTTTCATGGAGCATCATATTATAAAAATCATTACATTTTTCTCCTTTTACTAGTAGTATCCTGTTTTTTCCTTCGCACCCTAATCTCCAGCCCAGTCTAATTTGATGGCTGGAGGGGAGGCCATGACTATGACACATCTATGAGCATTAAGAATGATTACCTTCATCGTCCTCCTCTTCCGAGTCTGGGGCTTCGTTGTCTTCCTGATCATATCCATCTAAGTACGTGATTTGCTGAAGCAGTTCAAAAATGCTTTCTCGGTAATCCTCCAGGTTTGTGATCTCACAGTTAAACAAATCCAGACTTTTCAAATTTTTAAGATTTTGCTGGAGAAGTGAAAAATTTACAAGTCAAGATGTTAAATACTGTATTCTTTCTAATTCATGATCCAGAAAATAAATTTGAATTGAGAGAATTTTGATATTTTTAGAATTTTATAACAGGATTATTCTAACAAGCATACCCAACTCTTAATCTTCCCCTGCCATGAAAACTCCACAGGAGTAGGAACTTTATTTTTTGTTTTTGTACTACTAAACCCCAGGGCACTCTGTAACTGAGCTGCATCCCCACCCTTAATACATACATACATACATACATATATATATACATACATATATATATATATATATATATACATATATACATATATATATATTTATGTAT